GGACACCCTGGCCTGCTCCAAGGCGATCTGCAGAGTGAGGTTAGATTTAGTGAGTAACCTCCTCTGTAGGTTAATGTCCCGCACACCGCAAATTATGCAGTCCAGAATCAGCTTGTCCATGTCTCAGAATTCGCAGTACACTGCAGCCTTGCGAAGCGCCGCAATGTACTCATTAATCAACTCACCCTCTTTCTGGTTCCTGATGTTAAACTCATGCCGGCGAATGTGCTTGGACGACTTGGGGCCATAATGGGTCCTCAGCATTTGCTGGAGCAGGAACCAGGCAACTGATTGCAGTGGTGTCAGCTCAGAGAGGTCTTTTGCCGTCTCGAACACTTCCCGGCCACAGTATCCGAGGAACATGTTCTTCTTGCGGCCTTCAGAAAGGACCATGAGGTCATTTGCCTCGAGGAAGCAGTCAAATAGTAGCATGTATTAGTCCCAGTGCTCGGTGACTGGGTCATACGGAGTCAGTGGGGCATGCATAGCCATTTTGTGTACAGAGGACGTTTTGAGTTTACCACTCAAAAATGGCTGCTCAAAGCTGCACTGAGCTCTGGGCTAGATGTACTTGTTGGATTTCTACGCTCTTTTTGGTTCGCCTAGTTGCCTTCCAATCCCACCTTCGTCGCCAGTGTTAGATTGGGTAATGGAGACAGGCTTAACGGTAACAACAGCTCTTTATTAAGTACAACTGAGAACAATCCAGTGAAGGTTGAGTGACAGCAGCCCTTTTATAGGGAGCTGTCAGTCCCTTCGACCAATATGATTAAACCTCTGTTCCCGCCAGAACAGAGGACCTTGGTGGAAACCACTGTAGTTAGAATAAGTATCTAACACAAATCTTTAAGGATAACAGATTTATTCAAATAGTAGCAGAATATATTTTGTATTCTGGCAGTTTACAGCATACTAAAATATGCAAGGAGTACTGAAGGACCCTTGAGAAAAGGCATTCCCTGCAACAATGCCATTTTTGAAAAGCATTCAAATAAATTTCATTAAAGAATTCCATGAAATCTTATCATGAAATTTTATCTCCACCTGGAGATAAAATCAAAGTTTGTTAAACATTTTACATTAGAACCAGTGGGGTCAATTTGCATATAAAGAAAGAAACTTCAGAGCAAAGTCCAAAATGAGAAGGAAGTCAGTGTCTTTTTGTGTGTACACTCAAAATAGGTTTGACTTAGCAATCAACTTTATAACACTTGACATTCCTTCAGAATCTCAAGCAATGCTAGAATTCTACGGTAGGGGTTAGGTTATACTAAAAAGAAGAGATTAAAAATCAGGATCATGGCACAGTAGCAGAGCTTACTACAGCTATAGTCCTACCACATAAAGCTACAATCAGTTGTGGGTTCCTACCAGTTCAGACTAGTTCAGTCAAACCGGTAGTGGTTTGGTATCTGGGTTGTGGGCACCGGCAGTGACTCAGGCCTGCCATGCCCTCAAACCAGTTCTCTGGGCAGCGCCATAGGTGCCACAATCTTGTTTTTCATTTCTGCACATGAGCAGAATAATTTTTATTGCACTGTGCATATGCGCCCACAAGCAAACTGGCAGTAGTGCCTGTCAGAACCCGTGACCCGTCAAAACCGCGGTCCACAAAAGCGTGCTCGATGAAAGCGCGCATTTGACGTCATCACAGCGCGACGAAAAAAAATAAAAATTGAAATAAAAATAAAATTAAAGCAAGCCGATTCACATAAAGGTAAGGGTTAGGGTTAGGGTTAGGGTTAGGTTAAGGGTTAGGGTTAGGTTTAGAGCGTTAGGGTTACGTTTAGCGTTAGGTTAAGGGTTAGCGTTAGGTTTAGCGTTAGGTTAAGGGTTAGGTTTAGGGTTAGATTTAGGGTTAGGTTAAGGGTTAGGTTTAGGGTTAGGTTTAGGGTTAGGTTTGGGGGGGTTAGGGTAAGGTTTTCGCTTTATTTTTACATTTTTCGATCACAGCGCGATGTTTTCGTCGCGCTGTGATGACGTCAAATGTGCGCTTTCGTCAAGCGCGATTTTGTTGTCCGCGGTTTTGTGGTGGAACCGTCAGAACCCACCCCTAGTTACAATCACTGCTGAGACTAAAAATAAGAAGGGTCCCCTTGTCTATCTATATCCTGTGAATGAGTAGCCCCTCATTACAAGCAACTGATCCATGCCCAACCTAATGATTCCATGAGATTATTAGATAGCTATTAGATGAGTAATAGTTAAGTAAGGTGACCAGTCATCCCGATTTTGGCGGGACAGTCACGATTTATAACAATTTGTCCTGTGTCCCAGGGCGTTTTTAAAAAGTCCCGATTTTCTGGCTTCATGTTGAAAGCCCAGTGGATTTGCTTAAGAAATCCTAACCGGGGCAAGACAAAAGACACTCTGTCTAATCCCTCTCTCTGTCTCAGTACTTTCATTTAAGATATTAAAACGTTAAAGCAAGAAAATGGACCCCCCGCGCCCCATTTACCTCATTTTATAAGAAAAGATGACCCAGTACCATAGAGCTGCAGGAAATACTTGGCTAGAGAAGTCGCGAGTGTTCCTTCCTGGATTTTCCGGAGGGGAGGGGCATGGAGGTTGGAGGTCGGCTCGTGTGGAAAAAATGGTGGCAAAGTTTCTTTGAAAAATATTTCCCTGACTAATTTCACCATTTTAATTTGCTCAGTTCTTTGTATTAACATCTACATCATTCTGGATTGACTTGGAGTGCTCACTTGTGCCTGCTGGTAAGTGCGCTGGGTTTTTTTCTTTTATTTTTTAAATGTATTTTAAAATAATATTTTATTTATTGTGCATAGGATTTTTTAAAATAGTTTTATTCTGTGTGGATTCTTTTTTAAAATTGTCTTAGACTATTTAAAAAAAGATTCTATCCAAAATAAATTGAAGTGAAATCATTTTTAAAAATTCTATGCACAATACTTTGAAATATATTGTGCATAGAATTTTTAAAAATAGTTTTACTATTTTTACAATTTATTCTGTGTGGAATAGTTTGAAATGTTTACTTCAATTTATTCTGTGTGGATTCTTTTTTTAAATTGTCTTAGACTATTTAAAAAAAGATTCTATCCAAAATACAAAATACCAGCTGCAGTTATTCACTTAAGAACTGTGGCAAGAAAGGTGGTATAGTGATCAAAGTTACAATGGCATTGAAAAAAGTGACTGATGACCATTTTTCACACTTAGCGACCATTTTCACACTTAGTGACCGTTGCAGCATCCTCATGGTCACATGATTAAAATTTTGATGTTTGGCAACAGTTACAATTTATATTTGTAAATTGTAGTTATGTTGAAATAAAAAAAATATTACAATACTATTTTTGCGTTGTATGAAAATTTTTGTTGCTCTGTATAAAATTTTTAATCAAGCCCCCCCCCCCCCGTCAAAGGTGTCCCTCTTTACCAATCTGAAAATATGGTCACCTTATAGTTAAGGGATGCAAGAATTTAAATCATTTGTCATCTTCAGAACTGAAAGAAAATCTGGGTCTATCCTTTATATGTTCTACTAAACAAGGTTGCTAGGCATTCTCTGTCTCTCTGATTTTTCCATATTATTCTTCATTATTTTGTATTATTATGCATTTTTATGATTCCCATTCCATTTCATAGAAAAGAAAGTGCTTTCAGCATACAGTTTTGTACAGTCAGGAATACTAGACCTCTACATGTAACATTACGACTCTCCACTCTCTAACTTCCTACATTTCAATTATATTTCAAAAGAAGACATCAGAGAGAGAACATTTTCTATGAAGAAAGTTTCAGTCTAGGAGATGGGCAGCCAAGAAGACTGCAGAATGCTGGATAGATATGAAAAAAATGATCATGAGCCAATCCTCTGTTCCCTTTCAAAAATAATGGAAGTTCAAGTGCAGCATTGAAAGGAACTCTAAAAGACATTTACAAAAAATAGCAATAGCAATAGCACTTAGACTTATACAGCAGCAGCCCCCAACTTTGAAATTCTAAAAAAACGTTTACAAAAAATAGCAGTAGCACTTAGACTTATATAGCAATGACCCACAATCTTTTGGTCACCAGGGACCAGTTCCTTGGAGAGAGGTTTTTCTACGAACTGGAGGGGCCATGGTTTTTTTGCAGTCTGCAGTCCACGGATGGGACTTCACTTGTTTTCACAGCCCAGTTTCTGACATACTGTGGACCGGTGCTGGTCCATCGACTGGGGGTTGGAGACCCCCATTATATATCACTTTACAGTGCTTTACAGCCCTCTCTAAGCAGTTTCCACAGTCAGCATCTTGCACCCACAATCTGGGTTCTCATTTTACTGACCTTGGAAGAATGGAAGGCTGAGTCAACCTTGAGCTGGTCAGAATCAAACTGCTGGAAGTCAGCAGAATTAGCCTGCAATACTGCATTTTAACCACTGCGCCACCACGGCTCTTCTAAAGAACATTCTAAAGCATCCTGATCTAAAAATCCAGAATCTCTTTCACAGGGAAAATTGGAGAACAGATCCCAGTATGGTATTATAATAAAATACAGCATATATTTCAAATGAATGATATGTCATCCTTAATTTAAAATTTATAAATTAATTTTATAAATTAAAATTTAATTTTTATTTTTAAATAGCATGCTTACCCAAATATTCTCCTTTGGAAGTATCACTTAGTACTTTATCAACATCAAAGATGGTAGTGGGAGACACAGCTGGCATTAACAAAGGGCTTTTAATGCTGTCATCTTCTTTATTCCTCAAATTGCTGAACAGATTCCACACATTGTTCCTCTGAACTGGACCATCTAGTATAGCATTATCACTTTTCTTTTTCTGCCTTAAAGATGGATGTAGCCTGTTCTTTTCATTACAATCAATATATGACTTCCGAGCATTTTCTTTAAGGGTAAATCTTTCTAAAAGCGTGGGAACATCAACTTTATTAGAGTAAGAATGTCCACGGTGAGTGCCGCTGGATGATGTCAGATGCACATCGCATTTTGGAATATATGAGCTTTTATCATCATACCGAAAATCTTCAATTGAACCGGAAAAATTAGAGATAACTGAACTCCTAGGTTTAAGGCCCTGTTCTGTATTATTCAGCATACGTAACTCTTGCATTTGTGCACTGGAGCCTTCCTGATACTCCGTGTTTTTCAGATTTTCAGAATGAGCCAGGTTATGAGAGAAATTAAAGGTATTTTCCAGAGAAGGTTTTGTATAAACATCCTGGCTTTTTTCCAGACCTTCTAATATGGATTTTCTAATGACATTAGCCATTAACTTCAGTGACAGTTTAGGCTGAGTAGCAATGGGACATTTATCAACATATATTAGACATTTCTTCTCAGGGTCCCAAACTGGCAAAAGATTATCCGAGAATTCAGGAGACCTAACATAACTAGGTTGCTTTGGAATGTGTTCATCTCTACTAAAATACGAATTGTTTGGCCCTGGAATTCCTTGGCCTTGGTGAGCAATTCTTGCCCCTTCTGGTTGAGAATTCTTCAGAGTACGAGTTAACTTCCTCATTATTTTACTTTTAGCTTTGTTTAAGGGTTTATCTTGCTGTTCCTTGGCAGGCACCGAAGCAATTTTATCTCCTTCATCAAGGTTTACGGAGGATGTACCTGAGTTTTTTGTAAACAGTCCTGAAGTCAGTTGCTGACTGTTTACTGCCTCATTTCTTAAATATTGTCCATCAGTACCATAGTGGTGGATGCCAAGTTGAAGAGAACTGGGAATGGTAGCCCAATCAGCATAAGAAAGGGATTCACTATGTGCCACTGGATAACTATCTATGCAGCAGTGATGAGGAACGTAGAAAGGAATCGGTCCAGGTTCGTTGGTGCTTTTTTCTTTGGAGTGAAATTCTGCGCGGTGAGGTTGGAAATGGGCTTTTGTTTCTGGAATGTTGTTGGGATAGGTCAGCTGTAAGGAATGCATAAAGTGATTATTTTTAGAGGAAAAATGTAACTTCTCAGCCATGCTTCTATCTGGGGGGGTGGGGCTTTGAAACAAATCAGTTCTAAAAATGCACATATACATATCAAGGCAACAGAGAGAGCTGAAAACTGTTGAAAAGATGAAGATCCTCCCAATAAAAACAGAAAAAGGATACCATTGATGGTGATATTAGCCAAGGTCCTATGAGAGCAATAAAAATATTTGTAGAGTTGTAATTGTAGGTGTCTTTATTTGCAATAGGCTGCCTCATAGCTAGATAACACAAGATAAAGGTAAAGATTCCCCTCACACACATGTAGTAGTCATTCCTGACTCTAGAGGGCCATGCCCATTTCCATTTCATAGCTGAAGAGCCAGCACTGTCCAAAGATGTCTCTGTGGTCATGTGGCCGGCATAACTAAATGCCAAAGGCACACAGAACGCTGTTACTTTCCCACCAAAGGTGGTTCCTATTTTTCTACTTGCATTTTTACATGCTTTTGAACTGCTAGGTTGGCAGAAGCTGAGACAAGTAATGGGAGCTGCGTCCATTTAGTGGCGCAAGGGATTCAAACCACCGAACTGCTGACTTTTTTGATTGACAAGCTCAGCTTCTTAGCCACTGAGCCACAGCGTCCCTATTTAACTCATTTAACTATTTCATTCATTTAGTTATGTAATCAGCATGACTAAACACCGAAGGCGCACGGAATGCT